AATCAATTTATGTAAAAAAATAGCTTTTGAAAAAATTGTCAATTTGGTCCCTTTTTCCAGCACTTAGCCCATATGATTGAGTGCAGAGTAGGTGAATATAACGTCTGTAGATCTCACACAAAAGTATTAATCAATGAATCTACCTCCTAACGTGACATAAAATAACATTAACATTAATTCCTAACCTTAATAACACAATTGGGTGAACTGCAAGACTTGGTAAAGAGTATAATTGCATGTGATAGAACAGGTAAAGAACTGAATAATGTAAGTCACGTGATATGAAATTTCTTTAAATTTAAACCCGATTCAAATAAAGATACTTAGCTATTAAAGTTTAGCAGAAATTCAAATGGATAGTGAAGATAAAAATAAAGATAAATTTAGAAAGTGTAAAAGTAGAGAAAATGAGACATTCGAACAGAGAGAAGTACGGCTTGCTAGGAAGCATGATCGAAAACGCCAAAGAGAGAGTACAGAATCAGCTGAACAACGCAAAGCACATCTCGCACATAATCACGAGTGAAAATGACAAAAAGTAGCAATGCAAAAAAGTTGTACTCGGGATGAAGTAAAAACTAGTAATAGTGTTAATAATCAGCGAAGATTAGAACAAATACCAAATGAAGCTATATCCTTCACTGGTGGCTGATATCAATGATTTTATCTTCTGATGAAATTTCAGAAAAAAATGGATGAACTTAGGTTTATACTTTGTCCTGTATATAATGAAAGTTTTCTAGGCATTGAGCTTGTCAAGGGAAGTTGTCGCTGATGCAATAATAAAAAGACAACTCTAAAAAAATTTTCTGCAAAGAACAATATGGATCCAGAGGAAGTTCCTGAAGAACTTCAAGGACTCACAGAGGTTGAAGAAATGTTAATCTCTCAAGTTTTTACTGTAATGTTAGTATACCGACTTTATGATAGACAATATAGATACTGCGGAAACATAATTAACTTTTTCCAAGACATACAAGGGTTCATCACGCACCTTGCTATGCATTGGCAGTCTACAAATCAAGCATTTAAAGATTTTCAAGTCTGACATTCTAAGGTTACTCGTGCATTATACTGGTTAAAAGAAAATAATCAGTACTATTTGAATATTGATGAAGATATTCTTTAATCATTACCAGAAGATGGTTATATAGATAGTCAACTTCCTTATATTCAGAGTGACCAGAATTCAAATAGAATAGATGATGATGATACTATAACACATAGTTTTGTTTCTTCTCTCCCTTCAACTTATCGTGAGAATGTTGCAATTAATAATGCACTCAATCGCTTAAGGAATGAAAATTCATTCAATAGCATGGCCAACAATTGATAATAGCCCGATTAATGAATTCCAAATACCAGAATATATTGCGTGCATATTTCCAACGTTGTATCCAACTAGCAGTACTGATCTTCGCACTGAACAAATTAAAGATATTAAGCCAGCAGAATATTTTAAACACTTGCTTCGATACAAAGATAAAAGATTTGTGAGTCACAATTGATGGAGATATTTTGCTCTTAATAGTCAAATAAGATGGCAAGCACTACAAGAAGGGAGCATATACATTAGACAAAATCTTTTTGATGAGCAGCTCACCATTGCTGATATTCAAGATATGATTTCAGAAGGGGATATAAATATGTCTAAACGAATTATGCGATTCAGAGAAAGTTTACGTGGATCACGACAGTTCTGGATGGCACAGAGTTGTGAGTTAGCAAACATGATTAAGCAAATAGGCTTACAAGGGCTAGTGTTTTTCACATTTAGTGCCACAGATCTACACTGGCCTAAGCTTCATAAGCTTATACTATCAAGTGAAAACTATAATGGAGAAACTGAAAGTTCTGAATATCGTCGTCAAAACATAATCAATAATCTTCATACTGTTGTATGGTTTTTCAATAAGCGATTCGAGGTCTTTTTTGAGAATGTGCTTAAAAAAAAATAAAATCTAGTAGATTGGTGGTTCAGATTTGAGTAGCAGCATAGAGGAAGTGTTTATTTGCACAGGATTAGAAAAAGAGGAAATGCACCTGTGATTGACTAGAAGCAAATAAAAGAAAATGAGAATTTGATGAGTGATGTAATAGAATATCTCAATAATATAGTCAGTATAATAAATCCAGGTCTTAACTCACCAATACCCAAGCGGCATCTATGTCAAAAAGGTGATGATGAGATTTGTGATGATCTACAAGACTACATTGATTTGATAAATAAAGTGCAAAAACATACTCATTGTAGTGCTTCATATTGTCTTCATAAAAATAGGGCTGGTCAACAATCTTGTAGATACAGGTATTCTAAAGAAAATAGTGAAATTACGTATTTGCATAATAATAGTTGTAGTCAACCTGAGCTGGTTACTGCAAAAAACGACCTATATATAAATCTGCATAGTTGGATTTAATTACAAGGGTGGTGAGCAAACATAGATTTGAAGCCAGTTCTTAGTATTCATGCGGTATTACAATATATTGCTAAGTATGCGAGTAAGGCAGAGCCACGTTCAACTGCCTTTTCAGAAATATTGAATCAGATACTTAGTAATAGCAGACCTGATAAAGCAGTACTTTCTCTAATTCAAAAATTGTTGCTACATAGTGTGGTGGAATGTAACATTTCTGCACAAAAGACTTGTCATCTTCTGCTTGGTATACCACTCTACCATTCAAGTAGGTCGTTTGTCACATTGAACCTCAACAAAGAAGCACCGCGATGGCTTTGCGGAACAGGTAGTGAAGAAAATGAATTTACTGCAGTTAAGAATTCAAGGTAGACAAATAAGTCATCTCTAAAGCTCTATCAAGATCGACCTAGTGAATTAGAAAATTTTTCAATATTTAATCTTTTTTTAACACACAAATTTATAAAAAATCATTGGAAAAGATGTGAATGTGAAAATATAGTACGTATCTGGCCACGCCTGTCAAACCTGCATAATGGCCCTCAATAGAAAGAAATTTGCCGTATAAAAGTCCTCTTTTACATTTGTTATTGTGACCTCCAACAATTAACAGAAAATGAAACAGTATCATGGACTGCTTTATATGAGCATCATCTTGAGGAAATTAATTCTGATCCACCCGATCTTATTGGTCAAGCTATTGATGATAAGGAAAGTGTTATAGATGATGATGATGATGAAATGACAGAAATTGACGAAGATGAACAAGAAGAATACCAAGCTGAATAGATGCTGCTAGCAGAAATGGGACCGAATGCAAGTATTGATAATTCTTCTAGTATTGGATCATGTAACATGAATAAAGATTATGATTGGGTTAGTAATAGTAGGCGTCAATTTTTGAATATCGATATTATGAAGGCAAGCAGTTTTGTCTATCAAGCTTTAGGAAATGCTAAAATAGAAGATAATGATAATTTAGTTGAAACCATAGATTTTAAAAGTTTAAATGAAAAGCAAAAAATAGTCTGCAAACAAGTAGAATCACATTACCATAACGTTCTTGCAGAGCATCAAGTAGAACTATTAAGAATAATCATAATGGGAACTGCAGGTATGGGAAAATCACATCTTATAAAAGCAATTTGAAGCCTACTTAATACAATTGCAGGTGCAGAAGGTAATTCAGTATTAATTGTGCTTGCTCCAATAGGAGTTGCAGCATTCAATATTAATAGATTAACAATTAATTCGGCACTTTCAATTCCTATATGTATCAAAAATTTTGAGATAAAAGGTGAAAAGTTGAAGCAGTTACAAGAAAGGTTTTGGAATGTGAAGTATGTAATTTTAGATGAGAAGAGTATGGTTGGGCGCAGAATGATAGCTTTAATCGATATATGATTACATCAAGCGTTTCCTGAATGCAAAAATGAACTATTTGGTGGGAGGTCCATTATCGTGTTTGAAGATTTTGGCCAACTCCCCCTGTTTTAGATTTTCTAATATATGCAACTAACATATCAAGAGAGCCAATGTCTAATAATAGTATCTCAGCATACAAACAATTCAAAGAAGTTTATAAACTTGATGTAATTGAGCGTCAAGCAGGGGAAAGCGAAGGACAATGAGAGTTCAGGGAAATTCTTTTACGTTTGCGAGATGGAGAATCAACTATAGCAGATTGGAAAACATTGATCTCAAGATTTGAAGATAAAATAACAGGAGCAGAGAGAAATCAATTTTCAGAGGCTATTTTTATATCACCAAAGTGGTCTGATGTTGAGAAGATAAATTTAAATAAACTTACGTCTCTAAACCATCCTGTTGCTAAAATACTTGCAGTATATACAGATAGTTCTGAAGCAAAGTGAGCAGACTTTAATATGGCAATAGGTTTAGAAGCACAGTTATTAATAGCAAAAGGTACACATATAATGCTAATAGCAAACTTATAGACAAGTGCAGGTTTAGTAAATGGAGCAATCGGAACAGTTCAAGATATCTTGTACAATAAACAAGGACCTCCTTTTCTTCCTGTAGCCGTTATGATTTCTTTTGAAAGGTATAACGGGCCTACACTTACTACAGTAGAAGATATAACAGTAGTTCCAATTGCACTAATTCGACGTACGTGGGAAGGTAAAACTGGAACAATGTGCACAAGGTTGCAGATCCCTATTTGTTTAGCGTGGGCAATTATAGTGTATAAAAGTCAAGGGCTCACACTTCCAAAAGCCGTAATAAAGATCGGGAATAAAGAATTCGCTGCTGGACTTTCATTTGTAGCAGTCTCTAGGGCTTGTATACTAAACAATCTTATATTCAAGCTGTTCAATTTTGAAAGATTACAACGTATTAAAAAATGCAAAAGGATATAGGAAAGAAAAGACGAAGAGAAGTGGCTAATCTCTATGATTTCGTAAAAGCAATAAAGTTTAGATTAGCTTAACGTTAATTATTAAAGTAGAGGTTTTTTTTTTGTAGAAAAAGTATAATAGTTTTTTTGGTAAGTAGCAAAGAGAGGTATATTTAAAAAGTATGGAAGTAAGAGATTCAAAAGGTGGTAAAGTATAGCTGTAATAAATGTAAGGGTTAGGTTGACATAAAAAAATAAAAAGTAAGAGTTTTTTTTTTTTCTTATTCTATTTGTAAAGCGTTAGTGAGTAGATAATTAAAAAGTGAGAAAGTAATTTTTTGGTAATGAGCGAAGCAAAAAGTAGGTAAATAAGAGATTCAAATAGTGGTAAAGTATAGTTGTAATAATTGTAAGAAGGTTAGGTCAACATAAATAAAGAAAATTAAAGTTTTATTTTTTTCTTATTCTATTGTAAAATTGATAAATAGAAAGTAAGAAATTACTTTTTTGATAATTACATAGTAGTTATATAGTAAATGAATCTAAAACGGAAATTAAGCAAGTTAGTGGACAAACGGAAAATGCAAAAATACGTTTTTGATATTTATGTAACGGATATATCAAAAACAGAAATTAAGCATCAATGATCGTAGAAATTAAAGGTCCCTCGCTTCACTCCGGACAATTAGTTATATATATATATATAACAATAATAGCAATTATATACACACACCTAAAGTATATTATTCTTATACAAAGAAGCATAATATTGTGACATACTTTTGAAGGCTACTGTACTACTTTGAAGAGCTTAAATAACAAGGTCAATATGATACACTTATTCTCACAAAAAATATAATAGAGAAGACAATAAGATAAAATTACTTTTGAATATGTTTGCTTTGTATCTATACTGTTTGTTCAGTCTGTAAAACATTTTGCATTTTAGATAGAACATATAGTTGGTTTGCAAATGATTCTTTGTGTAGGTTAAATAATTCTTTATAAAGATTAGTAGCTTAGCTCCTGTTGATTTAACAAACAATATTATATTAGCTTCTTCAAACAATATCTACCAATTTCAAAAGAAGAATTGGTTATATGCCTTTATTGTTATAAGAAAGCTTACTGGTGTACCTATTTTGTTATTTACAAGATAATGCATAAATATTATATTTGTATCTATACTATTTATTTGCATCTTAAATAGATCATATGATCAGTCTGTCAAATAATTCTTTGTATTAATAGATCAATAGCTTAGCTCCTGTTTATTTAACAAAGCTACATTAGTTTCTTCAAATAATACCTACTAATTTCAGAAGAGAAATTGGTTATATGTTTTTATTTGTTATAGAGAAGCCTACTAGTGTTTCCATTTTATTATATAGTTAAAAGTTCTGTACTAAACTTTCACAAAGTGACTTTCAAAAAAGAAAACTAGCCTCAAGCTAAAAAGATCCATAATAGAATTACTTCAATTGTCTTATAAAAGGAAGCCTATTTACACATGCATTTTCTATTCATATCAGTAAACATAAATTGGTTAGTAGGCTTAAAGATGTTATCAAGGAGAGTATGCCACCTGAATATTCTGAGGTTCATATACACTACTTTAAACTATAAAGAGTAAACATATATAATAACCAAAAAGATATGCTTTCAAATATAATTTTAAGAGATAGTGATGTTCTTTTGGCAACAAAAAAAATCAGACATTACTTTCTCGATGATTCTATTAAGAATCACATATACATAATTATCGAAGCAATAAATATATTGGAAACAAAAGTTATAGAGTTAGAGAACAAACTTAAATCATTGCAGAAGCAAATTGATTTAGATTCATTTAATAATGTCCAACATCACACCAATCCAATTATTGCATACAATAAAAATATAAAAAAATTTTAAGCAAATAAGAATAAGTCATATCCAATTATATTGAACTATTATTCTCACAATTTACTAGGTTCTTTAGTAATATTTTTTAATAATATTTTTAATAAGTTTATTGTAGACCTTGAAAATGTAAGTCTACCAATTTCACATAAAGTTTCAAGCAAAATGAGTTCAATAATTGAAAATATATCAAAACATTACAAATGTGAAAAAGATCGACTCAAGATGCTGTTAAAACATCTTAAAGATTTGTTATAGCTTTTGTATTAAATTAAAAATGAGAATAAATCGGCTTCTAATAGGGTTGTGGCTGTATTTTCACCAAAGTTTAATGAGATCTTAACAATAATTTTACTAGAGGTTAAAAAATGAAATCGGCACTGGATCTTCTGATCCCACAATTCAAGGAAGTTTGTTATATGTCTGTTATTGGGCACAAAATAATTTCAAAAGCCTTAGAAATTCAAGTAATTGTCTCTCAATCATAGTTGCTGTGGTCAGTCTATGGCTCTGTATTTTGAGTGCAATTTATTTTGAAAAGAGTATTATTGACCCACTTATGCTCTTTATACCTATTATTCAATCTCATAAACATAAATACCTTCAAATAGTTACAAGATTATTTGAATCATTGTATCTTGCTGCTGAGTGATTAAGAAATTTCTATGAGATCTTGAGTAATTGCCAATGGCTATATTCTTTCTCAAATAAATATTTGAACAAAGAAATAATTATTTTATTTTTATATAATAGTTTGTTTACAGAGGATTATAATGGGAAGCCACTACAGATGACAACCATCTAATTCTTGTACAATTTTCACAAAATTACAATACAGCTGTATATGAATTATGTGCTAAAGAGGAACTCGTATCTTGAATTTTATATAAGTATACTATGATAGTAAATGAGTGGTGTATAATTGTAGTTGAACTTACTGAAGGAATGTATTTGTATGATATTTAAGTCATTGGTCAAGAATATAATGCAGTAATGAATAATATAACTAAGATGATCTAGCTACTTCATGATAATGATCTTGTCTTTGAAAACTTTAATAGCAATAGTATTTTAATCCAAAATGTTGATATCAATATTCAGGGCATGTTATTTGATTTTTTCCTATGCAGAGAAAACCAAAGGTGCTATTACTCATTTTCAATTAATCAAAAAACTAATCGATCAGAGCCTTATAGGTTTCTAGACAAATCACATGTTTTATATTATCTAGGTATACTTCAGAAAAAAGAGTTAATTTGTTAGCATGAAACTTTACTATAAAAATAATCCTTCGACATTATATAAGCAGTAGTACAGAAGGACCATTTTCATAATAAGATTTTTTTAGTCTTGAGTTATTTTAAAGAACCAAGTTGTCTTCATATATCAAAAGAAGGTTATGAAAAATTGAATAACCAATCCAAGTTGGCCTGGCAGAATGTTGAAAATAACAACTATTAGAAATCGATAAAATATATGATAATAGCAAAAACCTTGTTGAATATGTACAGGGCTTTGATTAAAAATATTATCATTATTAAACATCAAGCAAATACTTGCAAAAGAAACTGATTGATTTTTTATTTTTTTTTTATTGTATAAAACGAAAATATATAGGGGTCTTTGATTAGAATTGTTATTATTATACAAATGCAAGAGGGCTTTGATTTGAGGTAACTTTTTAGTGTTAAACAAAAATGTCAGGGTACTAGAGGTTGGAACCGGTTTTAAATATTTGAGTTTATCACATCAAAATTCAAGTTTATCACATCAATCATTAATAGATTGGATTTACTGTTTTGTACTGAAAATAGTACAGTTTATAAAATAGATTAAAATTTTTAAAAAATTAT